CCTCTCTCCCTGGAACCGACGCATCTCTCTCAGGGTCAAGAGTATCATCATTTTTTATTCGAAATATAGGGTTCGACTCGATGGGGAAAAGGTGTTGGTCGGGATGATGCTGCTCGATTTTCTAACTAAATCCGATGATGCGAAACATGAAGTTTGTGCAAGTTTTACATTGATCATGCAACCATGACAAAATATATCAGATCAACTCTGCTTTTGTCATATAATCTGGTCACATACTACGGATAAAACGGTCTTTTCAGGTCAGACTTGACACCGTTAATAGTCAAAACTGACAGTAGTGTCACGTGGGAACAAAATGAAGTTTGAGGAAAAAGACATGTTAGGACCGAAACAGGAAGCAAATTTCAAAAGGAGGCGCCAAATAACTTGCTTCTAAGGCAACCGAGCTGCCGCCGACAAAGCCATCGCTCTGCCTGTGGCCGTGGGCGAGGCATGGAACTGCTCAGCAACCAAGGCATCGACGCTACAGATTTGGGGAGCTACCGCCGATAGAGCACGGCAGCTAAGAGCATGGTTAATAAAGTGGGCCTCATGCGGGTGCAACGGAGAGATAGGAGGTACTAACAGTTATCAACACAAATCTACAACCGATGCCAAAAGACGAGAAAGAAATGCCATGCTTCGGTTCTGAACCAACCCTCAACAGGCAAGAATTGGAGAACCAAGAGCTTGCCAGCGGAAACAAGATTAGGAAACCAAACCCGACTGATCATTCTTCTAGCTTTTGGATGAGTTCCGTCCATCCAAGAAACAGAAACTGGACTTTTGAGACACTTCACTAAAAGAAGCAGCATGGAGGAACTCAAGATTTTGGAGCCGGTCCACGGCCTGTCATCCATTTCGATCAGGCCGCAAGACCGGCACTTCACTCATCAGAGAAAGTTGCATGAAGGGCATCCACAAACCATACCGTACTTACCAACTGTGTAACCCATGATAAAAGCTCAATTCATTAGTGTCCGACCACAGATTGGAAGACCTCCAGAGTTTGCAAGGGAACTCTGTTGATACTTTTGCAACCACCATGAATACCATTTGACAGAATGGTAACTTGGATTTGAAATCCAATCAACCCTTCTGTTGGGCTGTTTTCACTTATCATTCCAGGTCAGGAATACGACAAGTTTAAACACAATCTAATTGGGCAACTAAATGATGTGAACATCGGCTAACATCTAACAAGGTGCCTTAGACTATGTAATGTCAGAATGACCAAAGATGACTGTGTTTCAAACAGAGAAAGCTAGGAAGTTAACAGCAAGTGCACAAATGCAGTGATTTGAAGACAGGGCAAAAACAAAACAAAAACAAAAGAGGGGGGAGGATGCCACAAGGTTGACAAAGAGGCTTATTGATGCAATGATGCACCAAACATTAATAAGAACATCCAAGTCATCAAACATAATAAACCCACCTCATATGATAGCAGCATTAGGCTACAATCCGTAAAAACAAGTAATACAGATTTGCATACCATAAGGACATCAAATTTTGGGGCATTCTAGATGGAACAATGGTGAATGTCATAAATCGACGAAGCCAGATAGTTAGAACCTCAAAACACAAGGGTACTTGAATGATTTAGCATAACACAAATCTATCAAAAATTCCTTGGTAAACTGAGTGCCATCATAAAATTCTTTGAACCATACACACTGAATGTAACTAATTGAAAATACAGTCTTAAAATTGAAAAGGAATTTCTAATTCCAGTCTCCTCATTTGCAAATCAATGTGGATTCCCATGAAAAGGCATGGAAGATTTGCTACCACAATAAACAAAAGAGCTATGACGGATTGCACACTGGGCAACATACAGCATGACCGAAATCAAACCATCACCTGTAGCAACCAGGAAAGACGCATACTAAACCAGCCACACAAGGAGTACCTGCTGAAAAGAGTATAACCCAAACACCATCCTGAGCCTCGACCACCCTATAGAAGCACAAGCCCAAGCTCAGATGGCTTGATTCCATTGCGAATGCGATAATTGTAGAGATAATAGTGCAGCTGCCCGTCTCCAGGGCCAAACTTGAGCTCCTTGAGGAACCCCTCGTTCTCCATGACATCGAGCGCGTTGAATACATCATAGTTCCTCTGCTTGGCCACAATCAGTGCATCATTCATCAGCTGCTGCAACGGGGTCTTGACAGCAACATTGTAATATGAGTATGCGGCCTTGAGTGTCGAGTAGTTGGCATTGTTCAGCACGGACGAGGGCAGGGTGTAAAAGCTGCAGAAATCTGTGACCTCGTGCGTCTCAGGGCTCTCCACAAGGTAGCTGTCCACCACATCCTCCTGGGGGAGCAACCAGTGCTCAACATCAAGCTCATCAAAATCTGGCGCCACCACGTACCTTGCAAGGTATGCCCTGAGCAAGCGTGTGACTGCTGCAACATCCCTCAACTCCATCTGGCGGAACCCAGGGGTAAGCGGCGCATCAGGCAGCTTGTAGAGCCGGACCGTGCGGCTCATGGTCATCCGAGGACCAAGACGGGAGAAGCCAACGTCGATGAGCTTCTTCGGGTTGAGGGATCGATGCCAGTAGCGGCAGGTGGTGATGGGGGTCGGGAGGACGACGCCCGCAGTGTAGGCAGCCTGCCAGATGTTCTCCAAGTGGACGCGACGGGTGACCTCACGGATGAGCACCGGCGCGAGGCGCTTGGATCGGAGCTTCTTGTGGACGCAGAGGAAGTTGATCTCGGCCATGCGGACAACGTCGTCGCGCGCACGGATGCGCGCGGGGACGCCGGATATGAAAGCGACGAGCTTCTTGGACTCCTTGGCCCGGACGCCAATGTGCCAGGCGCGGAAGAAGGAGGGGGGGCGGAGCGCCCAGCGGAGGAAGGCCGGGGAGTAGTTGAAGCGGAACATGTTCTCGTCGTCCTCGACGTAGTTGTGGGCGAGGAGGGCGTAGAGGTCGGCGAGGAGGGCGTCGTCGTCGAGGTCGCAGGTGAACCACTCGAAGGCGGCGGGGAGAGGGTAGGGGTCGGCGCGGACCTCGGAGAGCGGGGAGGGCGGCTCGATGGCACCGTCGGGGAGGGAGACGTCGGCGACGTCGCCAAACTGGCCGACGGGCTGCGTCTCCCAGAACTTGTGGCGGCGGGCGGTGGGGTTGTTGGCGAGGGTCATGTGCTCCTGCACGCGCCGCGCCAGCGCCTCGATCGAGGTGTCCTCCGGCGCGGCGAGGGCGGCGTCTCTGGTGGAGGCGCTGGCGCTGGCGCTGGCGGCGGGCGGGTCGTTGTTGGGGGCGGCCATGACGATCGGCGCGGTGGGGAGGGCTGGATCGGCTGTAGGGTTTGAGGGAGAGATTTGGGGGAGAAGACTAGGCGACAGGCCGGGTAGTGGAACGCGAGGCGGAGGCGGATCGGATCTGTTATTGGGCTACCTATTCCCTATTCGTAAGCGTACCAAGGATACGTTTATTTATTGGGTATTTTCTCTTCTCCTTTTTCTTTAAGGTTTCTCTCTACATCACGCGATATTACAAACCGGAAGAAAACCACAAATAAGAGTATGTATACAACACTTTGAATTAAGAGCATCTACAACCGAACTCTTCATAAAGGTCCTAAACGCCCGGATTCGGCCTGCACAAAAATATGTCACGTGGTTGGATATGACAAATCTGACCCAAACGCCTGGGCTAACGAACACCTCTCATATGCAGCCCATAACTGAAGTGGATATAAGGATGCTCAGATGCGTTCGTCCCGTCGGATTAGGCCCATCATGACCCACTCCGACCCCACATATATTCAACAATATCTGCACTTCAGATCAAACCCTATTCACTCCATTCCGCTCCAATCCTCTCCATCCCCAAGCTCCTCTCCGGCGAACTTCGACCGTCTCAGACGTGTCAAGCAGTGGATCTGACTCCGAGATTCTCTGATCCGTCAACTAGGGCCTTGTCCCTTGCGTGGCCGGTGAGGAGATGGCCGTCTGCATGGCTCTCCGTTGCTCCCGGGAGGAGTGCGGCGTTCCCATGGCGTCGGGCTCCGGGTCGAGGTCAATAGTGGCTTCCCTCATGACCCGTCTGCTATGGAGTCGAGGCGTTGGTTTGTAGACGCGAGGCGTGCCGCAGTGCAAGGCAGAGGACGAGGGAGGCCGTGACAGCCCTCACGACAGAGGGCACGGAGCCGGAGTCACACAACCACCTTGGATGAGGTCCGCCCGTCCACGTCTATCATAGCCTCACCTCGACCAGCGACATTCAGGTCACGGGTTCCGACGAGGAAGAGTAGGGCATGTAAGATGGCGGCGGCTCGTGCCCCATGTAGGTCAGTCTATGTCTCATGTCCTACCCTATCTCATCGGTGACCGGATCTTCAATTTGCGTGTTTCACGACCGCCGGATGAGGACATGGAGGGAACATCAAGTACGGTTACGGCGAAGATTTAGACTAGATTTTACGTTGCATTTGATTGGATGTATTTGATGATTTGCAATGAGGTATCCAACTATGATATTGAAGATTTGAGTGTTGACCAGTCGCTGTCCGCGGACACACCCGAACATTTCTGCGGATGTCTGTGAGGCGGATTTAGTTAGGTCCGCTTGTAGATGCTCTAACCACCTATACATAAGATACAAAATCTGATTTTATAACGCCCGAGAGAGGGAGGGAGAAACGCTCTCGATAACACAAATGTTTGAACTTGTCGTCTACTCACAAAAACTTGGACAGGTTTTTTTTTCTGTTTTTTTAGAAAAAAACTTGAAAAGATGAGTGTTCATAAGTTGGACCGACGGAGCAAAGTGCGCATCGCAGAGGACAAAAACCATGGGCGAATCTGCTTTTAGGTGCCTTCTTTGGACAAAGGCCAACCATCGGGCCATGTAATACAAAGAAGGCAGCGTCACATGTTTGTCAAAAAAAAAAAGCAGCGTCACATGATTTCAGATCACAGGCTGTACGTTAAGTATCCACCAAAAGCAGCCCTCACTTCCGCAAAACAATACTTCCTCCGTTCCAATTTAAACTAAAACCACGACAAAAATTATAAAACGAAGGCACTAATAACAAAACGCAAAGCAGACAAGCAGAAATACCATTCTGCACCCGGGCTCAAATACATCTGATGTGAACCGTAAAATCAAAAAATAGTAAAAAAATTCTTTTTTGGCATACTTTAAGAAATGTTTATTGTGCATATAAAATTTCATGATGAAATCACATTGATGGAAGTCATGGCAAAAAAAACAGAGCTCCAAAATGCATTTGAAAGTAACATTTTCAGAGCATTGATTTTGTCTTTTTTTACCACGCCTTCTACCAATGTGATTTCGTGATGAATTTGTGCATACACAACAAACATTCCTTAAATTTTACCACAAAAAAATTCAGAATTTTTAAATTTAATTCCTATTTTTTGAATATACTGTTCACCCAGGAGACAAGTTGCTTGTCCTCGGGACAGAAACATGACTGCCAGTAATACTCCCGAGGCGGATTTTGCCGAGGGAGCATATGACCAAACTTGCATTAGAGTACATACAGGAAAAGGCGGCAGGACGAGATACACATTATTCCCTGATTTCAACACAGGACAGTATCCAAAATGCACCAACTTAAAATCATTCCTAGGCAATGAAAGGAATGCCCTCTCAGGTACAACCAACGAATTGATTCGAGTTATGCTACAACACAGAGACAACACGCGGGCAAGAAGACAACAGGCTGGGCCTACGCTTCCATCCATCCATGTACAAGAGAGCAGATGTCGGCGCGCAGCTGACGGGGTCGACAACACCATCAAAACTCCCTGTGCGCCACTTGCAGTATTGTGAGCGCCTCTCCTCTTGAACCTGAAAGGTCACCGGGGGGTTATATGATGATGGGAAAGATACTATGGCAAGGTGAAAGGTTAAAAATTGCTGGAGGATGAGTATGACATACATCGCTCGTAGAGCTCTGAGGCGAGCTCGAGGAGAGACTCGGTCTCCTCAGCCATCTTGCCGATCCTTTCAACCTCCATCATGTGCTCGTTTGCGAGGTGCGATTTGGCCTCCGCGTCGGCTACTTTCATCGCTGCAGCTTCAGCTGCGTCCAGTGCAGGACTCAACTGGCCTACACCCTTTGCTGCCTTGGATGACTTGGCTGAATCCTTCTTCTTTAGAGATGGATCTTTCATTGGAGCCAGAGCCCTTTTTGCATATGAATCCGTCAGCTTATAGGACTTATCAATCTGTTCACATTAAGATAGAAAAGATTATCGTTAGTTACATCTAAAGGTCTTTTCACATCTTCAATTCAAAACGTACAAACAAGCTCAAAACTTGAGGGGATCCAAGGATATCGCATGTCTGGTAAACTAAACGCATAGTTTGGATCCAGCCACCAAAGTATTCCTACAAAAATATATCATTCTCAATACAACCTTGAATCTCGTGTCGAGCTCCACATAAGATAACTTGTAACTTGAGATGCAGCGTGCCAATTTTGACAGCCAAACTAAAGAATCTGAATTCCACATATCGTCAATGCTTAAATTGGAAGAGGTGCAAATCACAACATCTGCTGCAAATTTGGCACAACGAGACTTCCTATACCCCCTGTATCCCCACCAATACTCTACCCAGCAGATATGAATATTCTGGTTTGGGTTTGGTAAGGAATGTGGCATCCCGGCATAATCCATACGGAGAATTAAGATTCGTGTGGATTTGGTAATAGCCCTGCCGTAGTTTGAAGGGAGAATATACGCAAAAAAATGAAAAGGAAAATTGGAGATGCGGCCTAATGGAGTGGATTCAAACAAGCATGAGGCACATAACAGTCGCACCAGCAGTAGTCAACCAGGTAGTTAGTTAGGAAGAGAAAGAAATGAGTTAGGAAGGTGAGTTATATTCTCAAGGGGGCAAGTCAGTCTTCCCTATAAAAGAGACACCATAAACCCAGTTTGCAATTAAGCAATGAAAAATTAGAAGTTCAACTAAGCCTAGGAGCCTCTCTACCAAGGCAGGGAAGATAGCCCTGACAGTGGCTAGTCAAGGCAAGTTCCCTCCCATTTCTTCAGACCCCCAACAAGCTAACAGGAGAACTACTTCAGCACTCATAACCTTTCATAATTCTGGTAGTCTCGTTTTCATAATAATGAAAATATTGTCACCTTCTCAACTTTGTTCACGCCTATAAGCCTTCGTAATTTGGCACAAAGCAACCTTCTAAAATTTGGTTGCACCTCATGCCTTTGCTGCATGTATGGCACAAAGATAACATCAGCAACCTACCATTATCCTAGCAATGCAACATAATTATGAAACATAAGTACTGCAAGTACCAACCAGGACACAAGCAAACCACAAAAACAAAATATTCCTGTAGCAGTCAAGGCAATCTTAGGAGCATCCTTGATGTAAAGGACTCTTAACAATAAATAAAATATCATGCAAAATTCATAAATAGAACAGGTCATGAAACATGGGCTCACAACTTTTTCACCATGTCAAAGATCAGGTTATATAGCAATATCTATGTGAAAACTGGCTAGATTAATCTGTTCACCTAACATAGTTCACTAGCTCTCATTACCAACAATATTTTCAGAATACTTTAAAGCCAAATTACTTTTCTCCTGCAAGCAAATCAAGCGATGGAAAATGCTTATAATTCTCACTTGTTCGATGTTAGTTGTATACCTGAGCAAAACTTGAATGAACTCAAAAAAATGAGACAAAAAAAATACTACAACAGAATGAAATCAAAAAGATGCTCAACCTCTATGAAATTGCAAATTGTAGCAACTTCTGAACCATTTGGCTCTTTCAGTTCGTCGAGAGCTTCCAGGATCATGGAACTGTACCTAATATGCAAATAGGTAGACGTAATCAGATCGCACACTAAAATACTTGTGTCAGGGAGAAATGATGCAGTTATAATTCTCAATGCGATAAAAAATAAGAATGCTTATTAATGCTCACAAGACTTTTATTTTGTTGACCTGAGTCTGTCAACATCTTTGTTATTTAACTACACTCTTACCATGTCTACTTGTTTGTATTCATTTTATACCAATATCATACTTTTAGCGGGCATATCCTTATGTTGGTCATTCCTACTGCTTTGTTTGAAAATTCATCTCGTGATCATTAGACAGAATCATATATTCCTCTAATGGAAAGAAATATAAGAGTAGATTTATCTAACATGGGATGAGTAGAAACGTCCTAGATGTATCACGTGATCATGCACTAACTCTTGAATAGAAGTATTGAATTAATAGTACTATGCTTGTCTTCCAGAATAAGCAGA